GTTGTATACCTACAATGTACCAATAAAAGAATTTAATAAAGTGTAAAAAAAAATATTGGGGTTGGGGTGTAGCTAAAAGATAGAGCACATGCTGAACATGTGCAAGGTTCTGGGTTCAATACCCAGCATGCACACAAAACATTGTTAATAACTATATCAAAGCCCTTTAATCATCTTCCTATTAAATTTTAAAATTGTTTTTTGATTAAAAAAATCACAATTATAAATGCTACCATCATAAATATCCTTATAGTTAAACCCTTGGGCATATCCATTATTATTTCCTTAGGATGAATTTTCAGAAGTAGAATTATTGGGTTATGGGTTTATACATTTTAGCAAGTTTGATAAATGATGCCAGATTGCTGTCCTGAAGAGTTTTACAAATGCATATATTACTGGTCTTCTTCCAGAAGAGGACAGTGTTCTTTAGTTTTCAACAATCATGTTTATTGTAATTTTTAAAAATCTCATTATCACAGAATTCAATTACTCGTATTTCTAGAGCTCCTTCACCATTAACCTTTCACTTTTTGAAAAGTTTTTGAAAGCTGTGTGAAAATAGTTTCCAATTTCTTTGTAGGTGAAATTGTTAAAACTGCCATCACTAGAGAGAATTAAGCATTTAAACATGTGAGGTTCTCTCATATAAATTGTACTTCCTTCTTCATAAGAACTTCAAAGTGTGCTTAAGTTAATGTGTTTCTGTAAAATATTAATAATCACACTGAAGACATACCCTTACATTTTACCTGTTGCAGTGAAATCTTATCTCCAAGCTGTTTTATTATTATGAGTCTTTATTTTTCTTTTCCTATCTCTGATTTAAAAAAGTTTCTTTACTCTCTTCTATAGGTTTTTCAGATGTGAACTCTTGGCATTTTCGTTTCCGCTGGTCTGGGGATGCCCCCTCTGAACTCCTGAGGAAGTTCAGAAACTATGAAATATGATATGCCCTGCTTCGCCTGAGGGAGAGCAAGTCTGTTGCCTGTGATGCTGGAATATTTTACGATTGTTATGCTTGTGAATTGCTCAGTATTGATTGATTCCTCCAACTTTGAACCCATCCTCACAATGTGGCTGTTTTTGGTACTGCTTTTGGTTGGGAATTGAACCCAGGCCCTTGTGCGCGCTCTACTCCCCAGCTCCACAATGTGTGTATGTTTTGAAGTGTGAAAAGTTTTAGAAGACTAGTTTCTCTCAATAATGAATCTATTAAACTTCTTATGTATAAGTAGGTTGTATTGTATGTTTTTCTGCTAATACTATTTATAGAAATCCATTTAAAAATTAGTTTCTGTATTTAAATATTATATTGATGTACCATGATCTCTATTAGTTAGTGCTGGAGGTATAAATCATGTTTTCTGACTCTTTAGTTAGGTGAAATTACTTGTCTTTGTTCCATGGAGTGAAATAAATAATTTTCCCAAAGTTCATAATTGTATTTATAATTTAACTATATTTTAAAAATGTTTTGGGTGGTTATTTCTACTTTAGTAATTGTGAATTTTAAAGATTGTGAGTTATTTGAGGAAATGTTATGTTTTTAACAACATTTCTTATAAAAGCAAATGATAAAACTTTTTTTAGCAAATGATAAATTTATAAATTATGTCCTAACTATGACAATAGGCCTGCTAGGTAACCAAACCTCATTAGGTTGCAGTTATTGATGGTCATATGTAGTCTATGGCTGGTTTGTACCTTTTGAACAAATGAATAGAAAATTAAGAAGAAAAAAAGATTTTGGAAGCTGGATGTGGTGACACATGCCTGTAATCCCAGCACTGTGGGAGGCTGAGGCAGGAATCTTGCAGGTTCAAGCTCAGCCTGGTAAATTTAGCAAAACTGTCTCAAAATAAAAAATAAAGAAAGATCTGGGGCTGTACCTCAGTGGGAATGCCCTGGGTTCATTCTCTGGTACCATAAAACAAAACATAGTTTGAGCAGATGTCCCTTAGTCAATGACATAGTTTTAATTGGTCTAATAGCAAAATAAGATAAAATAAGAAAGTAGCAAACACTGTGGTCTCAGTATTTATGTCCACAATTCTTATGTTGCAATACTCCCCCAGAGGTGGAGTTAGGAGGTAGAGCCTTTCTGAGGTGATTAGGTTTGTGAGGATGGAGCCTTCATGAATGAGATGTGTGGTGAGGGAGGGAGGGAGAGAGAGGAGAGAGAGAGGGAGAGAGAGAGAGGGAGAGAGAGAGAGAGAGATTTTTCAGAGTGCCCTTAACAGACCACTACATCTGCCTTGACCAGAGTTCCCAGCCTCTAAGCTGTGAGAAATAAATTTCTATTATTCACAGGATACCCAGGTTATGACTTTTGTTATAGCAGTTTGACAGTATGTTTTAAAAAAGTTAGACACATTCAGTATAAAGGGTTTGTTACTGATCCAGGCTCCTTTTGCCCACTGTAGAGAATGCCAATTGCTGAAAAAACGTTCCCAGAAGTGAGTTCTTCATGAGGACACCAAGTGTGGAGGTGGGAGATCCAAGTTTCAAATCTGCCTCCCTGACGCTAGAGTTCAGGGGTACCTATGAATAAAGAAAGAAGCAGGGTGAGTGAAGGCATGGGGAAAGGAGACAGGAGGTGATCAGTAGTCTGATGATCTGCAGGTGGAGTTTTTGGCCCTTGGTGTGAAGCTCACCCATTGGACACTTGTGCAGGCTCAAGGGAAGAGTCATGGACTCAACAAAAGTGGTCCTCAAGTCCCTGAAAAGTAACCTGGGCAACTGTTAGCATCATAACTCACCTGTCAGAGTGTTGTCTATAGCAAAGCTAGTAGGAGACTAATAATACATCCTTCAGTTGTGTGACCTCCGAAGTACATGATTTTTAAAGTCAACTAAAAGCAAGTAAAGCTAGAAGATTTATTTAGGGTTTCCCTTGGTTAGAGAGTGTCTGTTTTTCAGAAATTTTGTCCTTCCTACCAGTGTGGTTTCAAATGTTCTTCCTTTCATGAAATGGCCTGGAGTAGATTGTTACTAGTTTGCTGGGGCTATTGTAACCAAAGAGCATGGACTGGATGGCTTAAGCAACATTTCTCAACAGTTCTAGAGGCTGGAAGTCCAAGATCAACGTGTTGGCAGGTTTTTGTTTTTAATTTTTTTTTTCCCTGAGGCTGCTCTTGGCTTGCACATGGCCACCTTCTTGCTGTAGCCTCACATGGCCTTTGCTCAGTTGCATACTTGGACCCAGGGTCTCTTCTTCCTATAAGACACCAGTCATGTTGGATGAGGGCCACTGTTATGACCTCATTTTCATTTCTTTACACCTTTAAAGAATGTATCTCCAAATAAGGTTATCTTCTGAGGTACTAGCAGCTTGGGGCTTCAACTTGTGAATTTTAGGAAAACACAATTCAGTGTTTGTAAAGTAGAGGCAATTAAAAAAAAAAGTAGTACAACCTTGAGTTGGCTCTAATTTTATTCAAATTTTTACTCTTTTGTCGAACTCAAAAGTCAAGGGCAGCAGTTTATACAGAATTCTTTTTTTCAACATTTTACTATTTCAGTAAAACATGGCTTGCCATTGTTGCCATTTTTGCAAAATTTATTTCAAAAATGCCAAAAATATAGCATGCTGAAGTTAGTAAAATGAACCTTTGGGCAACAATCTCCTGTCATAATTCCTCCCTGGCCCAGGTAGATGTTCAGATAAATATTGTATTGAATAATGACTTTCTGAATCCGAGAATCAGGGTTTTATTCATTTTCTATCCCCTGACTGATTTTTTTTTCTTTTGTACGGGGGGATCAAACTTGTACTTTTGAGGCAGATGGCAGAACCACTGAGCTAAATCCCCACCCCTCTCCCCAACTGGTTTATAGCACTGCTGTCTTTTGATGACTTGTTAAATGGAAAATCACTCCCAATCCCACGTGGCTCTATTTTTATCACATACTCATTTCCCAATTGTTGACAAGATTAAGTACTTGTGCTTATTTACGTTTCTCTCTCATGATGCCTAAAGCTACCCAATAAGAAATGAGGATGAGCTGCACTTATTTGGCAGTTTATGATAGGTCGGGGTCCTGCTAAGCACTTTCTATACTTGATCCCATTTAATATAGCGGGAGACCTTTTACCCTTACACACTTGTATACTGACTTGAACTCAACATTTAAGAAGGAAGAAGAGTGTATTTAAATTACACAGTTCTTTGAATGGGAAGTAGGAGGAAAACATAATTTTTTTGCCCAAATTTGTTTGAATTCCCATGTGTCCAGCACAAACACAATCAGATATGTGTATAATAGCACACTTCAAAATCTACTCATTTTTGCACTGTGGCTCAACTTCACATCATAGCAAACATTATAAAAAGATAATTTTACATAAATATTATTAAGATCTTAAACCAGCACTAAGTGGTAAAGTGGATTAGTTACCCTTATATTTGATACAGAATGAATGAATGAGGCACATATTTCTTGAGAATGTTATCATGTAATGAATATTTTACTAGCATTTGTGTAGGAGATGAAAATGCTTAAGTCATGTTTATATTTCAAGGGGAGTCAACAATAGTGAAGTAAGACAGGTATGCAAATATCTACAGGTTAAAAGGAGCATATTGATTTAGTTTATATAAGTAGTGTGCTTAACATGACAAGTAAGCACTCTGTATTAGCGACTACTCTTTTGACTTTTTTTTAAATTAAATTCTTTTATTGGTACATTGTAGGTATACAACACAATTACATTACTCATTGGGAATTGTACCTTTACATAATGCATCTTGGTTCTTATTTATTCCCCATTCCTAGACCTTCCTTCACCCCCTCCACCCTTCTCTATTTACAAAGACTTTATTTTCATTTTTTCCATTTCTCATTTTTCCTTTCCCTTCTTTCCTTTCTTGACTTTTTTTTTGTACTGGGGATTGAATTCAGGACCTTGCACTTGCAAGGCAGGCATGGTGCTGCTGAGCTAAATCCCAGGCCCTAAGTGACTATTCTTACTAAATGAATATGTGTTTAGTCTTGTGGCCTCCTTCAACTCCTTTCTCCCAATTGTCCATCTTCAAAACACTATTTCTGGCATATCTTTCCTTAGATGTCTTGTATGTTTATATTTTCATATGTTTCGTTTCTTTACATCAATTGTAGCATATCCACTGTTGTCTAGCATTCATTTATTTAGTTAATATATCTTGGAGATTTTCCTATTTTAGAGCATAAGTGCTATGTATGCTTTTTACCTGCTGTATAGAATATTATTTTGTGGATAAGTCATAATTTGTCCTCTACTGATGGCTTTTTTTTTTTGCAATCATCATTGCAAGATGGTAACATTGTAACAAATAGTTTTGTACAAGGTATTTCTCATATGTGAAGTGTACCTGTAGGATAAATACCTAGCACTGGAATTTCTGGATCCAAGACTATGTATGTGCATTTAGAATTTGATTACCCTATTCTTAAGCACACAACAAATGCAATTTGGCAGATTTCAGGGATCTTAGGGCCATTGGACTGAAAAACCCAGGAAACCCAGTGCTTTTTCATTGAGATTCTTGCTTTTAGTTTGTTTCACTCTAGGCTAGACTTTGTTGAGTGGTTCAGTATGAAGCGCCATGGTTAGGGAACAATTTACTCAGCACCTCACCTAAACACTAATACCAAGGAGAACCCAAGATATAAAATAATAATAAAAGCAGAGTACACATTTCTTCTGGCACCTTCCACAGACAGAGGAGAACAGAGCCTTTTTTTTTTTTTTTTCAGTGCTAAGGTTACTTGCCTTCTGGGCATCCTGAAATGTTGAAAAACGATTCTGAAACATTTCTGTTCTTTTAAGTAAAGGGCAGCTCAACAGAGCAACTGTTAAAAAACTTAGGCAGAGGGGCCAGGGATTTAGCTCAGTGGTGCCGCTGCCTACCTTGCAAGTGAAAAGAATAAACAAAAAACCTAGGCAGAGTTCACAATTTCCTATGACTCCAATAGTTTCCAGACTTCCATGGATGTATTCCCAGTCTGTCAAAAACAGGCCCCTTGATGAGCACATTAGATATGTAAAAAAGACCTTGCAGATATTTCTTGTAAAGAGAGAGCAGGATAAGGAGATAAGATTGTATTCTTGCTTATGAATTTTCATATCCTTCCCCTGCCCAGATCTGATGGAAGTTACAAGATCAGTCACAGCAGCTCATGTCAGTGACTAACAGTTATTGAGAGGGGTCTTTAATTTCCTGGAAGGCAAACACCATTGCTCACTACGTCCAC